CTTAACAAACTTTAAAAGATGGGTTGTGAGTGAAAGGAGCGTTATAACATATATCCCACATTGAATATAATTATTATATAAAGTTGAAAATGATCCAATCACTACGGGGCTTAAGTTTTTTGAATCATACATAATCTCAACTTTCTAGCTTAATAATATACATGATTTTGAGAAGCGATCCACTTATACATTTGCAACCCCAAAACTTAGAATCACTCCATTGATAAAATTTTTAAAACTATAGACATGCAAATAAAAAATATATACATTCAAATAGAAAAAAAAGAAAAAAAGAAATAACAAACACTTAATTAGAAATAAAGTAAAATGTTGATGTATATTTAGTACACACATCATCATCATGATATCTAAATTTAATAATCACACCATTTGAAGATATCTAATAAAAATACTTGATTAAACAAAATTGAAAGCTACCATACTCAAATAAAAAAAATAAAAATTGAAACGCTCAAATAGAATAAAAATAAAAATAAATTGCACGCCAAATTTATAAAAATCTTGTATTTTTTCTATATTTTAGACGTCTTCTTTCTTGCAAGGCCAAATACCTTTTATGAATTGAAATGGTTACTGTGAACAAGAATTGTGCAGCATATCTGTCACATAATTAACTCTGTCATTATATTTTGAGGAAGCTATCCTTGGTTCTTGAATCAGCTGGGTTAAAATCTATGACATATTTACTTCATTCTGAAATTCTTTCAGGTAATCCTGACTGATAAATTGCTCAATCTACGAGGACTAAAATATTACATACCCTATAAATTTAAGGAAATATGTAGGAGACGGCAAAAGTACTTCCTTTAAATTTTAGCCTCATCTTTTAAACTATTCATATGGATAAAAAAATCGAGTTGGGTCCAATAAATCCAACGTAGACCTAAATACCTAATGGGAGGGAGTGAAGGTCTAATGACCGATTGACCGGTATTGTTTTAAATGGAATGGGTTTATTAGGCCCAAGACTTCTTTCCCCTCTATCCAAGCTCAAGGCCTATTAATAAAAGTGACGATTAGTCAAACTTGGACTTAATCATAGAATCACTTGGATAATTAGGATCAGTTTGCATTTCCAAAATAATTGAATGCGTTTAATAGGATTAGAATAACTTGATAAATAAAATATCTTCAATAATGTATTCCTTTGGGCCAACCTTGTAGCAACTCGACGTGGAAAATTTGTTGGTGACTTAAGTTTGTATGGTCAACTAATTGCAAAATATTCAAAACATATGCATGATTTTAATCACAACATTTTTACGTTTTTTAATTATAAATGAAAGTACAAAAAATAATAGTATTATTTTCTACGTCCAATTACTTGTTAACAATATAATTTTGCAATCCTAAAATCATGAGATATTAGAGTAAATTAAATTATTTTCCAACAAAAAAATAACAATAAAGAAAAAATGCATTTACCTAAAAAATGTAGAAATTTTATGTATCAAAATTAAATTATTGTAATACTTTTTAAAATATTAGCTTGCTTGGGAGGGACAGTGAATTGTTACCCATCCCAGGAGCACTAGGTGTGATTATTTGTTGAGATTCGCTTGATGGAAAATTATCTCTTTGGTTTCTGTGAAAATTCATTTCAATTGATAAATAATTACCAACTGGATAATGTGATATACTCCAAAGAAGACATAAATCATAGGTGAGAGAAGTCGGTCAATACCTTTCCCTTCTCCATTTGAGTTCAATTCAAGCAATTACTTTGAGTTGTCAAAATTTGAAAAAACTCTTGATGCCGAACTGAAAATAAATCATTATCCGAAATTGAGTAACAATTTTTAAAAACATGATGTAATTTGTTGAGAAAAAAAAGATAAAATTATAATTTAGTATTATGAGAATAACAAAAACATCATAAGTTAACGAAAAAATTAACGAAAGTATTTAATTAATAGTTTTTAAAAAAATTAGAATACTCAAATAAAAAAAATTAAAATTTATATACTTAATAGAAAAAAATTAAAAGTTAAGATACTTATAATATAAGTATCTTATCGGATTTATAGATCCATTTATTCATCGCGTGAGATGTTTCTTAAGATGATTTCATAAAGAATCTTCTCGTAAAATTTGCATTAAGTTTCACTAATAAATGGTTTCAAACTTTATCCTAGCTCCTTTTTGTTTTGGTTATAATAAGGATGCTTAGTATTTATTTATTTATTATTATTATTCTTATTTTGTTTATCTAGTTTATCGATCTAGTATTTATTATCCTTAGTTTAAGTTTTTTTTTCTTTTTTTTTTTTTTTTGTGAAAAAAAACATGCAACCTTTTTACTAGTGCTTGATATACAGAGGGACAATTAGAAGACATGAATTAAGTCATACCCTAACAAATGTTGTTATATTTATGTATATAGATAGATCCATGGCGCAGGTATGGTCACAATCTGCAATTGTACTGTGATGTCTGCTTTCAGTGAGACAATCCAGCCTTCCTTCTACTGGTAAAGTAAAAGAAACTACTGGTCTAAAACTTCTTCAATACTAAGCGCAATATGTTTTATGAGTAATGTTCAATATGTTTTTTTTCCCAAGCATCTCTGTTCTACGTGAAATAGAACTAATTAAATTCAAAACGAAAACTATAAAGATTAATTCTTCTTAACAAGTGTAATTTCAAAATTCGAATCATATATGTTAGTAGAAAATTTGTTTAAGACCAAATCACTTACGACAATAAGTGTAATTTAAGAATTCCAATCATATACGTCACATAAAATTTGTTTAAGAACAAATTGCTTACTACTGGACAACATTGTTGGCGTTAAATGTGCTTCTCTAATTTGTTGAACATTGAAGGTTAGATTTTGGAGATGGAAAAGAACTGAATCTTGCAACATGCACGAGGACCATACTACAATCTCAATGCGTCAAGTATCTTGTACTGGTGTGCTATTTGTCCCCTAAGAACTTGAAATTCAAATATTTTATTAGCAATATTGCATTCCTAATTGTTAGCTAACTCATTATTTGAACTCTTACTTCAACAATATGCTAAACTGATAATGAATTATAGCTTAACTAGCATTGATATCCTCTCTCTCAATAGATCTCTAGTTCAAACCTCTTCTTTCTAAACTGAAAAACAATAAAAAGCTAATGCCTCTTTTTATTTTTTGTGCTCATTATCTTGCATGCAGAAAGAAAGAGAAACACATGAAGTGATTCTGAAGAGTGGAAAGCTAGTTAAAGGCTTTTTTATATATGGTGCCCCTGGAAACTGTAGAGGGCACTAAGTGGATCTATGTTCTGAGTGAATCAAGAAACATTCATGTTGAGGCTTTTTTCATCACTCAAGTTCTTTAGCAGCTAGCCCTGTCATTGCTGCAGGAGGTTGGTTGCACATGGTCGGATTCTTGAGGTATGTTTACGGTTTAGGCATCTCATACATTTTCATTGTGATCGCATTGGAAAATGTAAATTTTCTCCTTCCTTTAACGGTGCTTACATTATATCGGACCCAAAAACAAAACCAACTTCACCAGAAGCGACATCGACTTCAAAACACAGCCCAAAACCTGAAGAGAGCTAAAAAAAAACCGGGGTTACTTCTTCTGGTACTCTAGCTTCAAAGCCAGTTTCAGATAGTGGTGTTCAGGTCGGGTTAGAAGGCCGCAAGAAATATGAGAGGGATGAGTTGGGAAGAAGGAAGGTGAGGAAGAGAGTGGTGTAGCTTTGGGAACGATAAATAATGATGATGATGATGGGGTTTTCGCCCTAGAGGATTCCAAAAGCAGTGATATGGCGGTCGTGGGTGGCCTACAGCCACAAGAAAACCAATGAGTCTATTGGTATGGAACTGTCAAGGTTTGGGACTGCCCTTGCTAATTCGAGCTCTTCAGGAGCTAAAAAGAAAGTTTTGTCGCTCCATTGTGTTCCTGATGGAGACGAAGGAGCAGAGCAATATAGTGGATAGCTTAAGGCAGCTGATTCCCTTTAAAAGTGCAGATTTTGTGGATGCTATTTGCCAGTCAGGGAGTTCATCTATTTGGTGGGATCAGTCTGTAGATTTATTTGTTATGAATAATGTAGGAACTTTTTTTATTTGAGGTGCAAAATGTCAAACTCAAATGTGGAATAGCACCTTACCTTGGTGTGTGGAAAAGGAGAATATGAGGGGTGTTTGGGATGAGGTTAGAAAGCTGGGTTGGGGGAATCTTTATGGTTGTGTGCTGGGGATTTCAATGAAGCTATGGCCTCTTCGGATAAGCAGGGAGGAGCTCCAGTGTTATCTAGTTCTCACAATGACTTTAGGGACTTTTTATATGATGGTGAGTTTATGGAGCTAGAATTCAAAGGTGGTCTTTTGCGTGGATTAACAGAGAAACTAGAGACCGTAACATTCTTCAGAGATTGGATAGGGTGGTTGCTACTTGCTACCTCTGAATGGATGAGGCTCTATTCTAGTGCCCATGTCTTGTATGAAAACCAGATTGTGTCTGATCATCGCCCTATAGTTGTGAGTTTTGATAATGTCAGAAGGTGGAGGATAAGACAATTCCGCTTTCAAGCTCGATTGACTGAGATGGAAGAGTGTGAGACATAGTTGCTAGAGAATGGGAGGCTTCTTTTTCAGTAATGAACAAGGCAAATTGGTTTCGATATTAAGGACCTAGATGCAACGCTGCTCTAACAGTTTGAAGCAAGAATACTTTTTGGTAACACTAGATAGAGAATTGAGGAGTTGTCTGCAGCCATTGAAGAGCTACATAAAGTAGAATACACTGATGAGCAAAAAAGGAAGGAAGCAGATCTTTTGGCCTCGATAGATGAAGCCTAGAGGTTAGAATAAATGTTCTAGCATAAAAAATCGAGGATTAAATGGCTCAAATTTGGGGACCTTAGTACCTCTTTTTCCATACTTCAACAGTTCAGAGGCAGCAGCAAAATCAGATTCTAAAACTAAAAAATGATCAGGGCAGGTGGGTGATAGGGTAGCAGAAACTGAAAAGGATGGTGATGGACCAGTTTAGAGAGGTTTGCAGTTCAGAATCTGCAGAAGATATGAAAGGGGTCCTTCGGTGCGTCCCATATTTGGTTGCGGAGGATATAAATTCGGAGGTTTTTTTTCTCACATTTGATCCTTATACTTTTTGAATTTTTTGATTGAGATCTTTTATTTTTTTCTAACTTAATTGAAAACTTATACTCTTAAAAATTTATTATCCAAATGTGTCACATTAAAATTATTGGTAACCAATCACAAATGGATACGTGATAGGTAGATCCCAAATATCACATTATTCCATCCAAAAAAAACTAAAATTAAAAAGATTTTTTATTATTAAACTAACAATCAGTATTCTTGAGAGTCTGCTTTTGCATCTAATCGTATGATTTTTAATAATGTAATTATTGCCCATGAGACACTTCATGCTTTGAAAGTAGATGGGAGAAGTAAAAGCCCTCATATAGCTCTGAAGCTAGATATGAGCAAGGCATATGATAGGGTTGAATGGGATTGTTTTGCATGCTACTTTGCAAAAGCTTGGTTTTCATAATAGATGGATATATATGACTTGTGTTACTACTGTTTCCTACTGTGTTATCTTATAATGGCCGTCCAACCAAGCACTTCATTCCTGGAAGGAGCATCAGACAGGGTGACCCTCTGTCGCTCTCTCTTTTTATTCTAGTATCTGATGTGTTATCGAGATTATTTAAGTTTGAGCAGGGAAGAGGCACGTTAATGGACATAGGATCAAGCCCACATGTCTGCAATAACGCATGTTTTGTAAGCAGATGACACCTTCTTGTTGTTTGGAAGGGCAGTTATGAGGAAATCAGGTGATGAGGATTTTGGAGAGGTATTGTCGAGCATCAGGGTGGAAGATAGATAAACTTCGAAAAGTCTGGTATCTATTTTCGCCCTAGTACCTCCCAAAATGACAAAGATTGATTATTCAGAGTTTGGGAGCGAAATCCAACTCTATAAGTCAAAATCTCAAGCTTCATGTTTCCTTTTCGATCGTATTAGTGAGAAGTTGTTGTCCTGGAAGCGAAAAACTGTTATCACGAGCAAGAAGAGAAGTTCTTCTGAAAGTAGTTGCTCCGGCAAGTCCCAGCTACATGATGTCTTGCTTCAATTCCCTCCTGCTTTCTGCTCTAAAACGGATAGCCTCAGGAGCAGATTTTGGTGGAGCAAATCGGTCAAGGATGGAAAGGTCCACTAGAAAAGTTGGATTAAACTAATCTTTTCTCAGTGATCTTATTGATTCAGGCTCGCAAATGATCTGGAAATTGAGTCTCTCTTAAAAGAATTTTTTTTTTTTTTTTTTTAAAGGAAGTAGTATTTATTTATTGGGCTCTCTAACTAAATATTACTTTTCTAGTTGTCTTTGTCAATTTTTCAAGTTATATTAAATATTTTGTGTTTAGAATTGGATTTTGTATTTTTATTCTTACATGTTATGTATTTATTCAATGATATCTTTGTGTAAAAAAATTAATAATAAATCATAATTTTTAATTTATCTATATTATTTAGAGTATTTATACTCGCTTGTCTTTATATAATATTCAAAATTTCATATATATCTTTAGGTTTTAATTACATTTTATTTGTCTTTAAAAATATTTGAAATATTCAATCCGTTAGTCCGATTAATTTTTTCGACTAAATAATTTTTTTTGACTAAAATGCTCCAGATTGAAATGCCAAAAAATTATATAAAATTCTGAAAAATTTAAAAATAAATGTAGATTATGTGACTTTAAATATATTTTTTTATTTTAGTAAAAAATATTTTGGAAAAAAAATTCATAGTCGAAAAATTTAATCGGATGAACAGATTGAATATTTAAAAGAAATTCAAAAAAAAAAATGAGATGCAATATTTGAAAATCTAGAAACATGTAAAAGAATTTTAGTATTATATAAAGATATATTGGTATATATACCCTATTATTTAATATCCTTCTTTGTAAATGTTTTCTGTTAAAATTAATGGTAACGAGTTAAAATTATTTATTCAGGAGGTACTACAGTCTACATAGGGTTTAATTGAGCTTTTAGCCTTTTGTTGCTCTGCAATAAGGATTAGCTGAAGATTCTTGCATCCGGTTTTGCTATGCTATAGGGTTTAGATAGTGTCATGCTCTTCTTTTTTCTGATAAATATGTTTAACATGTTTTAATTTGCTTTATTTTGTAACCAAATACATATATATATATAACTAAATATTAAAAAAAGATCGCTACATATTAAACAAATTTGATAAAATTATCCAAAACCTTAATCTACTTATCACCTAAAAGTTATATATCTATATACCTTTAACAATTAAGTTATTAATTATCATCCAAATAACCAACTAAAAATGATAATTAATCCAAACTGTCAATCATGTAATATGACTTGTTAAAATTGAAATACATCAAGATAGGAATTGCTTTTTGATCCAAACATGCAGTATGCTTCATTTAAAAAATTATATAATTTTTAAAACTATATATTTTTTAAAACACTATGTTGTTGATTAAATAAACCAAATTACTAGGAGAATGTATTTTGTGCAAAATATTTTAAGAATGAAAAATATTTCTTGTAATTTTTAATGATATTTGATAAGTAATGATTTGAAAAATATGATGATAATAGAATGATGATTATAATGTGTTGTAATGATGTCGGTAATAATAATAGTTGTGATAATTGTGATAGTAATGGTGGTTGAGGTGGAGGTGCTAGTGATGGTGTGATTGAGATGGTTTACCGTTCATAAAATATTTACGAAACTTAATGAAGTGAAAATATTTTTCAACAAATAAATTAAATTTAAAATATTTTGCATGATTGATTTTCTTGTAAAATATTTTTACACATGATAAACACTTGTTAAGATTCTCAAAATAAATATTGATATTTTAATAAAATATTTGCAATAAAATACATTGCAATAGCTACTAAAATATATAGTTAATAGTTTTTTTTTCCTTGCAAACAATGCATGTATTTTTATGTTATTCTGCTAATAGTTTTTGAATAATTTTAATTTGGTTTAATATGCTCACCTATCGTAATATAATAGGTCAATTTTTCAATATGTTCATAAATTTTAAAACATCTTTAATCTGTTTTTATTATTTGAGCTGATTTTTAATCTGTTTTTTCAGTCAATTTTTTTTGATAAAACCATTTGAAAATGGCATATGAGACTTACACATGACTTTTTCTTTAACAAAAAAGCCCTTTGTAGTTTAAAATGTGTAAGTTTCCAATATGTTCTTGTATAATTAGTTGAGTTTTCAATCTATCATTAATGCTAAGAAGTTCATTATATTATTGTTAATAATTTTCTTAATAATTTGTTGCACTATAGTGATTTTTTTAATCAAAAAATATATAAATAATTAGTACAAGTTTGTATGTAATTGTTCTAGAAATTAAAAAACAAATAATTACATTTAAGTAAATGTTAATTAGTATCTTAAGCATGCAATTAAAAAATAAATAATTACATGTTTTCTTTAATTTCATAATTTTTTTTTGCACACAATTCACTTTTTTTTATAAAGATGATTTAATATATTGGTAAATATTATATCAACTTGTTCAATACTATACATAAATAAATTATTATAATATAATAGACTCTTTATTATTAAAAATATGTTAAATGATAATTTATTGATCAATTACATAATAACTTATAATAATTATTTTATATATTTTTAATTAACATAAGTTTGCAACACATTATTAGAAAAATTAGTAACAATAATATAATGAACTCTTTAGCATTAAATATAGATTAGAAACTCAACCAATTATATAAGAACAAATTAAAATCTTAATATGTTAAGCTTGCAAGAGATATTTTTTTGTCAAAGTAAAGTCATGTAATATTTTTAGGTGGTTTGTCCGAAAAAATTGATGAGAATGATAGATTGAAAATCAACTCAAACATTAAAAACATATTAGAAGTATTTTAAAATTTATAAATAGATTAAAAAAATTAACTTATTATAATTTTATTATAAAAAGACATGTAAAAATATTAAACTTTTTTATTCCACATAACATGTAACCATTTACTTTCAAACTCAACATTCTTTTTCATTAAACCTCTGTTTTTTTTTTTATAAAAAAAAAAAAAATCCAACCTCATTATCAAATTTAGCACTAAGTTTAAAGCAAACATAAGTTCCATTGATGATTCAAAATTATTTGTCTTTTGATCCCGTAATTTAAGAGAGAATAATAATATCACTGCCCCTTCTTCGTGTAACGTGGACCGGCTAAAAAGTCTCAAGTATCCGTTGCATTTCTGCAACTTTTTCTTTTCAAAATTTCAAAATTCAAACGTCTCTCTGCTTTAATAACACTTCCTATACCAAACTACAGACCCAAAACCTCAAACTCCTCTCGCTCACCCTCTCTCTCTCTTTCTCCTCTGTTCTCCAAAAAAATGGGTGCTTCAGGGAAGTGGCTCAAATCACTAATCGCTCTCAAAAAGCCCCTAACGACAACAGAACAGGTACTTTTTTTTTTTTTTTAATGGAAAAAAATCGTGAACATAAACCCCTTTACTTGTGCGTGTGTGTGTGTTTTTTTTTCCAATGCATTTCTCTGTTTTGTTTTTATAGGAAAAACAGAGCGATAATAAGGGAAACAAGAAGAAATGGAGGCTATGGAGGAGTCCATCAGAAGGGTATATACAAACTTCAACCAAGGGCTTGAAAAGGGTCCACGTCGCTTCATCAGAATCGTCTGATTCTTCCCTTGTAGTCGATGATGAGTTAACTGCTGCCATGGCTACTGTGGCCAGAGCTCCACCTAGGGATTTCATGGTGGTTAAGAAAGAATGGGCCGCTATTCGGATCCAAACAGCTTTTCGAGGCTTATTGGTAAATTGGGTTCCTTTTTTCTTTTATCTTTTATAACTTCTCTGTTTTTAATTCAAATTTGGTTTTTTTAGGCTGTTGGGTCAATATAGTTTTTGTGTATTCTTGAGATTTGAGATCAAAGAACTTGTCGAATTATCACCTGTTTACAATTTTCATGTCTCTGAATATATGTGTATAAAATCATATTATATTATAGAGTTTGTAATTGTACGACAAATTTAGAAATAAACTCACAATATTGAGGTTTTGGGGCATGCTTATTTTTGTCATTTTAGATGGCTAATGTTAGGATTAAGTCAATTCAAGTATCACTCAATGTGCAGCAATTCCTAATCTTAGTTAAATATAGAAACTATTCAGCATTTGAACTTATAAATTTTATAAGGAAAAAGAAAAATTCAACAGCGAGAACAAAAAAAGTTCCTTTTTTTAAAGGTACTTCATAAGAGAACATTACCAAGGACGAAATTTGATTCCAAAAGATTTTGTGGATTAGGATGTTGTTGAAAGATTGGGTCAAGGCGTGCCAGTGTTCTGTTGCTGAGACAAAGGGAGTTCAATCTCATGTCCTAGAACCTTTTTCATGTTCAAAAACTTATCTCAAATAAGTGTGATGCACCTCTTTCGCTAAGTAAACTTCCTTTCTCTAAAGTCGAGCGTGAGTCACAAGTTGTTCTGTCCTAAAGTAATCGCACCTGCAGGAAATTTGGCTTAAAACTTTCTTTTTTTGATTGTTGTTTATTGACTGCAATGCGTAAAGGTGATGCTCAGTTGTAAAGCCATCGCATTTTTTTCGCCTCAAGAATCACATGATTATTGTTGAGGAAGCACTTCATTACTAGACAATTTTTCTGCTTACTGTGTATATTCTTTAATTTGATGTTTTTCTTCTTATTTGATTATTTGGTTGCTTTTGGATCAAAGTGTGTTGCTAGTGGTCGGAGTTTCTTTTGTTGCTAGCAAATGCTGTTTAGTTATGGAGGCTTGTTTGCATAATGGCAGGCAAGACGGGCAATGAGGGCCTTGAAAGCAGTAGTGAGGCTTCAAGCTATATTTCGTGGCCGGCAAGTCCGAAAGCAAGCTGCTGTGACACTGAGGTGCATGCAAGCTCTTGTTCGGGTTCAGGCTCGAGTAAGGGCTCAGACTGTGAGCACGGCTGAAGGTCAAGCTGCGCAGGACATGTTGAATGAATACAAGATCCAAGCTGATCCCACCAAGCAGGCGGAGGTATTATTTTAACTGTTCTTTCTCTTTCTTCGATTTTTCTTCATTACAATGTTGCATAGGATTTAATACAAGTTAAATTTAATCTGAAAGATGCTATTCTTGAAATTGTCAGAAAGGATGGTGTGATAGTCCAGGAACAGTGGATGAGGTCAAGGAAAAGTTACAAATGAGGAAAGAAGGAGCCATTAAGAGGGAGCGAGCAATTGCATATTCCCTCTCCCAACGGGTAAGGAGCCATTGATATCCCATACATTTCTTTTTCCTTGTTTTGGCTGGCTAGTTGATGGATTATATATATGAAATAGACAAGCAAATTAAAGAAGAAATTGTAGCTATCACAATTTGTTAAGCTAAAAGTGTCTTTGCTTCAATCAGTTCTAATATGTAGGAGTTTATCTTCTTGCTTTCAGAAATCAAGATCTTGCGCAAGCCCGTGTAGAAGAACTAGCAAGTCAGCAGTGTCTCTCAAGAATCAGCCACCGAATAACAGCAGCCCTGGATGGAGCTGGCTGGAACGTTGGATGGCAACCAAGCCATGGGAAAATAGACTGATGGAAGAATTTCTCACTGACTCAGCAGAGATTCCACTTTCCAGGAAGAGCGAAGATAATATCGCCAGCTTCTATTTTTCTAAAAACGACAAGGTAAAAGTGAGAAAAAACAATGTTACAACCAAAATTCTTGCTAAACCTCCCGTTGTCAATCATGTTACTCGCTCATCTTCAGCACCAAGCTCTGAATCCCTATATAACGAGAGCTCGGTATCAACTTCATCTACATCTGCCTCTCCAACACCATTTTCAGGAGACATGTTAGTGGCAGACAGAGTAGTAGAAGGGAGTCATAACAAAAAACCCGCCTACATGAATCTAACTGAATCAACTAAGTTTAAGGCAAAAAACAACAGGTATTCTTCTCAAAACATCCAGAGGCAGGTACTGGAGGATAATTTTCTTGTGAAGTCAAGGGAGCTTTTGAATGAAGACTCTAATAGCAGTGCTGGTTCCAATCCTTCATTTAATTTGTCCAGGGATCTTTACCCACCATTGCCTTTGGGCAGACATGATGAGATAAGAAACCGACGATACTAAGGGGGAGATCAAATATGGCTGCTGCTTCTTGATCAAGTACTTGCGTGTTTTAGGGAAGTTCAGGAGTTTAATATTTGAGTTCAACTGCTTGTTGTCCTTACCGATTATGAAGTCATTCAGGTGACATAGATATTTACATCGAAGGATTGCTATCAGAACCAGGTTGTGGTATTTGTAACTAAAGTATAGATGTTTGGAATGATTATGGCATATATAATATTGAAAGAAACTAATTTTCTGTTTACGCTGAAAGCCACCATAAGGATTTTCTAGCTTTTAGCAAACTATGTTCCAAATCAAAGCCCCTTGGTCGTCGTCCGGCATGGTTTGGTTCCAAATAGAACCTGAACCATCAGCCAGGAGCTTCGGTAGCCAAAGAAAATGGATAAAAAGCACAACAAAGCAAACTATGCTCCACGAAGCCAAACGTTTTGAGAGAGCTGTTGAAGGAATCGAATGCTTAACTAACGGGATAATTACACTGTAATTACAGTAACTTCTAATTTTTTCTCAATCAAGTATATAAATTTTAATTTTTTTTGTTTGAGTACGCTAATTTTTTTGAGATTACCAATCAAATATTTCTATCAATTTTTCTATTAACTAGTGACATGTCTGTTATCCTTAAAATACTAAATTATAATTTATCACTTTTACTAAATGAAGTACATAAACTTTAATGTTTTCAAATTGAGTACATCAATTTTTTTTAAAACTATCAATTAAATACTTTTTTTTAATTTTTCTATTAATTGATGATATATCTAAATAGCAAATTATATTTTTTTTCCTCTTTTGTTGCATTGAACTATCTCTTCAATTATTCTATCATTTTAAATTTGACCAAAAATTCTAAAAAATTATATTTAGTTATAAAATTTCAAATTAAACTTAGTTAAGCTTGCTGTTAAAAAAATAAAAAAAATGAAAAAATCAGTTAAACTTTGAGCATGAAAGTTGAAGACGTGAGATTTTTCTTCAAGAAAATTCATTTATGTTTTTTTCCTTCAATTTTTATTCTTAAATATAATTGATTTTTTTAACAGCAAGTTTAATTTGGAATTTTAAACATAAAAAACAATATTTTTAATTATATGTCAAATTTTAAAATACTAAAATAATTTAGGAAGAAAGTTTTCTTCAACAAAAAAGAGAATAAAATTATAATTTTGTATTCGAATACATCATCAATTAACGAAGAAATCGATAAAAGCATTGAATTGATAGTTTTAAAAAAAGTTGATATACTCGATTGAGAAAAAATGTAAAATTATAATTTGTTATTGTGAGAGTAACAAGCACGTTATTAGTTAACGAAAAAATTAACGAAGTACTTGATTGACAGCTTTTTTTAAAAAAAATTATCGGTGTACTCAAACGAAAATAATTAAAGTTCATATATTTGATTAAAAAAATTAAAAATTAATGTACTTATAGAGTAATTATCCCCTTAACTAATATATGCTTGTAATTATGGTGCTATAATCAAGATTGAAGAGTGATGTTATGTGCTTTAAGAGCTGAGATTGTTGTTACGGTGCAAAACTTGAAGCAAATTTTTGCTTTCTACAGATCAATTATCCGATTGATCAAATTCTAAGAGTCCACGCTGAAGTAGAAAATTAAAATCATATCCATCTGATCACAACAATTCGATCAAGACCTTATTTAGCTTCATTTTCTTGCTTTGTACTATTGAATTATATATTTTTTTTCATCCAGATTGGTTTTAGTCAGCAATCAATCAACGAAACGATGCATTAAACTGAATATGCTTGGGCTTACATCAATACGATTGCTTTTAATACTGGCATGCTAGCTAGATGCATGAACAACATTAAACATAATTAGATTTGTCTTGACCAACAAAATAATTAGTTTCCTTGTGTAGTCATGACTTGTTCAGAGTTCTATAATCATTTCCTAGCACTACCTTTTCCTCCAAAAGGAAGCCTTTTCTTTCCTTTTTCTGTCTCTTATTTCCAATATGATCAAACCCCTGAGGCTGGAAACCAATCCAGCTCTGGCAATATTACTGATAATCAAGATCCTTGTTCAGGACCCCAAACCCTAGCTACTTTTGACTCATCTTACCACTTCCATCTTTCAATCTAGTCTTTGGTCCAACGGAGTTAGTTCAAGCAACCTCAAATAGAATTCATTTTTATGACATTATGGTTAGCCAATAATGTAATTACAGCTTGACAGAAGATTATATATATATGATACCTAGAACCAGTGGACCAACACAGAAGTGATAATTTCAAATTATATGTCTTGCCATCATTAAGTTTATATTAATGACTAGTCATTTGACTCTAGTGCTGACTTCTGGAGCAATATGAATGATTATGGCTGATGTAATTAACACTATCATCAAGCACTAAACGAAAAATTACTGATACAATCGTATGATGAATATGATTAATGTAATAACATAATTATTGAAGTATGGATATTTCGTCTATGGTCCCTGTACTCATTTATGCCATGAAAGGACCACAAAATATCACCATCAAACTTACCTGACGTATCATGAAAGAAGTTAATCAAGCAATACATATCTATATCTTTTAATCAACAGATAAAAACAAAAAATGAAAGTAAAAATAATTTAGGGTTCGGAATGGACAACACATAATGAAATAGTTGATGGGTCTATCTCAAATTAGCAACATATTTTGAGAAGTTTTGGACAGCATCTTTGATCCGTTAAAGGTTGACTTCTCTCTAGGGCATGTCTAACGTGGTCAGGATGGAACAAGATGACGACGACGATGATCAGTTGGCAAGGTTCCCATGTGGGAATAGGCACTAACAATGGCAAAAAAAAAAAAAAAAAATCAGGAAGCTACCAAAAGTTGTAAATTTTCTTTGAAGTCATCAAATTGATGGGATCTTCAAGAGAAGGAAATAGAAGAAAAAGGGATAGCAGAAACTTTCTTTATATTTGAGTAAATATGTGGGCTTTCTTTCATGGGGTTTGCCATGAAGAGAAGGAAAGGCAATGTGGGTCAAGTGGGGTACACTTAATTTTTTTTATGTATTGCCTATTTTCTTCAATACTCATCTATTTTATTAATAAATAAAGAACCAAAGCTCAAAAAGCAAAATTACAAGTAACAAAGATGGGGAATTGAAACCTATAAAGAGAGATTTTATTTTATTTTTCTCTCTTGAAGAGGAACTCTAAATAATTATAGATTAGTGCCTGTGGGAGTGAATATTGATATTTACCATCTTATGTCAGTAGTTTCTAATTAATTACTTCAGAAAGTCAGTCTCTCTTTTTCTGATTTTGGGTGATTGTTGTTTGAAAATCGAAAGGGATTTATGATTTATCAAAGGGATGGTAATGCCTTTTTTCTTCCCTCCAAGAAGAAGGAATGGCAATGCCTGTCTAATCTGATATGAGAAATGAGAAACAAATTAAAACAATATCAAAAAGAAAATGTTCCCTACAAAATTTGGCTGAAAATGACCCATACCAAAATCAATCTCCTCCCAAGAGAGGACAAAGAACTACCTAGCCATTCTTGCAAGTACATGTTTTTGATTCCTCAATAAGTTCGGAAAAAACAAAAATGACTCATAGCTAGTGTCCTTTGATGGCTCAACAAATAAAGCAAAGGAGTCTGGTGCTATTAATTGTTGTTGCATGTGCAACAATAAATCACGAATCTTGTTTGTTTTTTTTTCTTCCATCACAAGCATTCCAAACTCTTACTTTTTCTTTCATAAGCAAGAATAAAATGTAACCCAGATGCTTGTCAAAACTGCTTTACCTCAAGGAAAAAGCATTGCTTTAAGTCTATTTTACCTTGACATTTTATCTAGGTTTTATTATTGATGGGCACTTCTATGAAATGGAAAACCATTGACGTGCTTTTAATTCACAGCTAGCGGTACTTTATGGTGATGTAATAAGAGCACTACCTACGATCATATATATATATAAATATATATATATATATATATATGGCTGGTTAGCATAACAAATGGAAACGTGAGACTTTTTGCTAAATGAATTTTGAACTCATTACAAATCTTTTTTTGGACCCAATATCTCTTAGGTCAAAAAATTTAGACTGATTTCTCATTATTCGTTTAAAAATATATACAACTATTTAAGAAGTTTTTTACATATATAATAAATCAAAATTAAGATTATTCATTAAAGTGATTAGAGAAGTTTTCGTTCAAAACAATCTGCCGGGCGCATTACAAATCTTTTTATTCTCCGTACATTCCCCTTTGCATATCACAGTTTAATTAAATAGTTGATGTTAAATGGAGAGAATAAATCAATTCGACTTAAAGCTTGAGTATATATGGGGCATAAATCGAAAGCACCTCGCAATCAATAAAGAATGTAGATAAATATCTACACATAAAGATCAAGTTTTATTAGTTCAAAAGTAGTGAATTATAGTTAAAGTTATAGGATTTGTATATGATCATGACGATTCAAATCAATAAAAGGTTCAATATTAATGAATCGAAATAATATGTTAATATTACAGTAGTCACAGTAACTTCTCACAGTAGTACTTTCTTTTTATAGTATAGTTTTTTAATGACGAGAGACTTATTTTTTTCTAGATCAAACATTGAATTTCAATTTTTCTTTGTAAAATTGTTTTTTACGCCTTTGGACATCCGTATATGATATTGATGTTCTTTTTATTGTATATTCGTAGAAAAATACTATTTTAGATTAGCTTCATTAATCATGACGAAATTTTTTTTTCTATCAAATGAAAATTCTATCTTTGTTAAAAAAAATAAAAAATCTCACTCGCCTTTACTATTCATTAATAGTGCAAGAGCTTGCTGCCAACGAATAATTTTTCCATAATAAATCCAATTTTAACTAATTAGTTTGAGGAAAAAGCTACAAAATACCACCACTTTACAGACAAATTAAAGCATCTTAAACAGTCATCATTTTCTATCCGAAAGGAAAAGGGAATCCTTAAACATGCATGACATGAACATAA